CCAGTCATGTGGAAGACACAAAGAGGCAACAGCGAAGCAGCAGGCAGTGAGGAGCTCAGAGCTTTCTAGGGATGCCATAAGGCTGGTGGCAGAGCCATGCAGCTGCGGAGCAGCGGAGACACCTGCGCCCATCCAACACCTGCACTGCTGCCATGCTGTTTCTATACATAACAACGAGGGTTTGGCACCAACCCATGTAGGTGAAGTGCATACGGGGCAGTTTTTTTCATTGGGGTCAGACTGTGAAGGCAGTGACTGATTGATCTTCCTCCTAAACGACAGAGTAACTTTCCTCCCTGTTTACACCTATATTGTTCTTTTTAACAAGTGTGTAACTTTGTGGACAAGTCCCTTCTGGGCCAGCCTGATTCACAGCTCTCCACCCCAAAAAATTCCCCAGCTTTACACCTGAAATGAGAGGGAAAATAATCCAAACTGATTTTTAAACACAGTTTTGCAAGCTGTGAGGCAGGGCCCTCCTCTCTGGGGCCATCCCTGACATGGCTGCTAACAAAGATCCATGAGCATGAACAGGGTGACAGTAGCACCCAGGGAGCATGTGGCAGAATATCTGCCAAACGGGTGGCAGATACGAGACAAACTGGAGATGGAGTGACCACGGCAGTGATTACTGCACATGCAGAAAGATGTTTCTGCCCTGGGGGATTGCCGAATGTTCTTCAGTGAGGGGAGAAAGGGCAGAGCAAGGAATATGGTACGAGACCCACAGCCCTTTCCAGATGGAAGGAGCCCGTCAGCTGAGCTCTCTGGGCAGGAGCTAATCTGTTTCTGAACTCTGGTTCCTCTCTCCATGTGTCAAATGTGACTTTGCCCCTCTCTGTACCTCTCAGTGCATCAACGTGAGGTGGCAGGAACCAGGCCATACGGTTATTTGCCAAATCAGAGATGGGATCTCCAAGAGCTGAAAGCAAGGACAGCAAGGACTTCTGGCCTGTCTGGATGAAAGACCAGGTTGTCTATCCTGTATCAGAGGGAAGAAGAGATCAGAAAAGTCTTGAGAGGGGTGGAAAAAAATCCCAGTGCTCAGCAGCAGCAGGTGCTTCCCAGTGCTCTTCATGCTCTTTGAAAATTGCTGAGTCCTTTGGGAGGCTGCACAAGTGAAACATTAATTTCTGCAAGCCTAGGTCAGAGAGGACTGAGATTACTTAACACTGAACTACCTGGTTAATGATGAACTGAACTGTGCTTTGAAGAATGAAACGACGTTATTCAGGATCATTAACAGATGTTACAGGATAGGCTAGCCAAAAAGTGAAGCAGGCAAGTCACCGTCCAGGGGCATCTTCTGGTCATTTCAAAGGCACGCAATAACTCCATGTGCTGCAGATTATGCGTAGCACAGCCTTCCCCACTTTGAGACCCAGGAGAGGGCAGCAGCCTGCTGAGGAGGAAACAGAGAGGGCAGCCATCCTGCCAGGGTGCGGAGAGCTCACCAGCTTCCAGTCACACTGGGACTGGGTGTGCTAAACCTTGCGGGAAGGGACCCTGGCCCAGAATTGTCACACGCCTATGCTGCAGCCTCACAGCCCTGGCAGCCAGGGTCTGACAACACAGAAGTAGCTCTCAGCATCCCCCACCGCTGTCCCCCCTCACCACGCTCCTGCATGACTTCACCTGTAACACCGGCAGGTTGTGGCATACATCCTACAGCATCTCACCAGCCACCCAAACTCTTTAAGCACCAAATACCATTAGCAAGACACATCAGGACTGATTTCTGAGTACTGCAGAAAGACCTGATGATCCTCCTGTGTTAGACCAGTGTTTGCAGTGGTTGGGCGAAGAGACTCTGAATCACCAATGAGGCAGCAAGATTGCAATCGGACATCAGGAGTCCAGGCTTTCAGTTCCTGCTCCCAGTTCCCCTGCCCTCAAACGGGCACTGCTTTAAGCTGCCACAGATCAGTATCTGCCACAGGCAGATAAACACTGGGGAAAATACAAGAGCTCTGGGTGCAAAACAGCACCAGTCAGAGCTCCTGGGATACGTTTCTCATGACGGACGTGAAGGGCTTGTGGCTCTCTAGGTCTCGCTACCTGGAGGATGCTGAACTTGACCCAAAGCCCAGCTTTTGGACTGCTCTGAAGCTGCTGCGCCAGCCCAACTCAGCACCTCTTTGGAGTTTGCATATTGCTTTACACTCTCTCTCCCTCTCTGCTGCCTGAGATGTCCTCCAGGGCAGTGCTGTCAGCCGAGCAGGACCTGAAATCACCATGCACGTCTGGCGTTTTCTGAGATTCGGGAAAATGCAGAGGCAGCCGCTCAATGAGTCTCTCCATCGCTGGGATAACATGAGTTTCCATAGCTCGATACTGCTTTGTCCAGGTCTCAAACTTGCCGCTGAATGTAATTACCTCTAACAGAGGAACAACAGCTCTCAGCAAAAGGGATTGGCACAAAGAGGTTTCAAAAGAGATGCGTAAAAGGTGCATGCAGAAAAAGTCAAACAGCCACTCAGATCTCAGCCCAGCACCCTGAGATAAGCTCCAAGAGTTTAATTGTGATTTTCAGGGATCTCATACATTCTTAACCGGGCACTGGATTTGATGTTCTGGTGGAAATAATCAGATCCTGCCTGGACAAAAATGTAACTTCTCCATCCACCAACTCCAAGAAGCTGAGATAGCTCTGCAGAGAGACTGGAGGAGCTGAGGAAGTTTGGTCGGAGATGGCAGCAAACAAGTTACTCCTGCACCCACAGCGCAGTTCTTGCTCATGGCAGGAAGCTCTGGGGACTACTACCGAGAAATACAGACCTGGAGGATCTAAAGCAGCTCCCCACACCCTCCCACCACACCTGGGGATTCAGACAGCCTGCTGCTCATCTTCACTTTCCCAACTGCCCCCAAGTTTGGCCCAAGTCCTGTACCTGAGCCTATCCTTTGAAACGCTGATACACAGGAGAAGAAAACAGTGATCGAGGATACACAGCCTTCTCTCACCATGCTCCTTGAGGTCCTCCAGCTTGGCTGCTGTGAGGTCTACGCTGTGGATCTTGGGGAGGACTTGACCATGGCAGTGTAAATAGCTCTCTGCTCGCTAGGCTGCAGCACAGGGAGGGAGACGTCCCTGCAGACACGGCCAGCACAGTGCTCCATCAGGTAGAAAGGTGTGCCAAAAGTGCCAGGGAAGCAAGGCAGAATTGGCATGTCTGAAGTTAATCCTGCTGCCTACCACCCCTCAGATCTCACCTGCACCTTGAAAATGCTCCCAGGCCTCACTTGCATGGCAAGGTGAAAAGCAGCCTCAATAGCATTGCCCCATGAGCGCTCACGCCCAGCTGTGGCCTCGGCTCAAGCCCAACTCAGGCTGCCAGGCGGTGGCACATGGCTGTGGCACGATCCGTCCTGGTCCCTCCAGCCCCAAGAAGCTGAGCTTGGGGCCAGGCTACAACACCAACCATCTCTGTGCCTCCCCTGCAGTGCTATCTGTGGGCTATCAGACTGCACACAACCACCACGAACAGTGGACGCACATTTAACTGCAGTGCAGAGACTTTATTACTGCAGCCAGCAGAGATCTGAGCGTAGCTGTGCTGACTGCAGACTACACAGGGTGTCCTGGTCACAGACGTGCTGCTATCACGGCTGTAGATCTTGGGGTAAGTCTGAGGTCTGGCAGTTAGAAAAATTACCTCCTTATCAGAAACCTGAGCATACTGAGTCAGCGGGAAGCCCTGCGACATTGTTTTATAGCTGCTTTTCAAAGGCAGATAGCATTTTGATTAATTGCTAAAATAGGACACACCTAAACCAAGCCAAATAAAAGTGTTACTGTCCTTTGAACTTCTAAAGGCTCCTCTAGCTCGAGACTGGGCAAATGCTAATTAGACCAGTGCACTTTGGGAAGTCTGGCTCCTTATTCTCTCGTCTCCTTATCTTTGGGGGAATCTGGCCGAAGTTGTCAAGCACAGAGTGAAAGCTGAGGGACAAGATTACCTTCTGTCCTCGCAGAGAGCAAGTACAGTGGGAGGAGGAACACCAGCCTCAGAGAGTCCTTTCAGTACCCTGCCAGGGAGAGTCAGAAAGCCGTGTCAGCACAGAAAGGCATTAGGGAATCAATACTAGAACTGTGCTGTTGCTAGGCAGACACACGGTATGAGAGTCCTGTGCTCAGTTTTAAATACACTAAAATAACATGATCGGGGGGAGGCAAATGAAGAACACTAAAATCTTCATAAGGCCCAGAGACCTGAGACCTATCCACTCTGGAAAACCAAGGGGAGATCACAACCGCTCCTTCACAAGTGTCCTGCTGCTGAGGCAGAGATCTCTGGCACAGCAAACTGGTTTGCAGCATGACCGCTCCAGCGCGGGGCTAGCCCTTAGCTGGGCTCCTCACTGCTCGGTTGCAGCGTTGTGCTGCAACCCCACTCCCACCTAAGGTGCCAGGTGCGACAGTGGGATCCTGCGTCTCCCGACAAGTGGTGGGAGAGCTGTCGTGTGCCCCGTGGATCGGAAGGATTACAGCGCAGGAGCAGGGAGGGTGCTTTTCACAGGCTTGGGGTCCTAACTGCATGCTCACTGCCAGCTGCAGGGTGATAGCACAGCCTTGTTTCTCAATCCAGGAGTGCTCATGTTAGCTGTAGCAAACAGACAGATCACAGATTGGGATATAGAACAAAACGCAGGGGAGGACAATATGGGAAGCAGGTGTGCGGACTGTGTGTGTGATGTGGAACAGAAAAGCCAAGGCTGGAATAGAGCACTGTCCTTAGGATGGGGTTGTTTGGGATCTCCTACGAGAGTCTTTCCCAGTCAGCTGTCACGAGGAGCACAGCTGCCTCCTCACCTGTATTCCCTTCTGACAGCGGGGCTGGAGGGGCACAGGCTGTCGGAGGGCTCCTTCTTCAGCACTAGCAAGCGATCTCCAAACTTGACAAAAAAGGTCTGGGTAGACTGTCTGTGGTCAAACCGCCGTAACACTAGTGGGCCTGAAGAGTTGACAGCAGAAGGTCAGCAGACAGAAGCCTGAGCTGGGATTATTTCTCACCAGTTCTCCAGGTTTTACTTCCCCTTCCTGTGCCTGGCTCTGAGATCTCACTTGCAGCGATCGGGAACCTACACCTGGTCCTGTGTCCCAAATCCCCGGGGGAGCATGGCAATAGGTCATAATGGCTCACAGGCCAGCAATCCTGGCATCTCTTTGGCAACTTGTGCTCAGCCCCTCCCAAATGAGGGAGTCCTAAAATGTCCCATTTCTGGGAAACAGTGACAGATCACTGAAACCTGAATGGCTGTACTGTTTGCTTGGAGATCGGGAGCCTTTCGTTAATGCTATTTTTCAATCTATTTGTTGTGTGATGGAAAGAGCCAATGGCTCCAGAATATGCAAGCTTTCAGGCTGAAGAGCAAAAAGCACTGCAATACTTGTTGCGTGGTCACGGAGAACATTTTCAAGATACTTTTACAGACAATCTTTTGGGATTTCCATGCTTGGTCTCACTGGAAAAGTATATGGAACAAACCCTTACAAAGGAAAACCTCTTTGAGTGCTACTTCTGGATCATCGACCTGAAAGCAGGAGGGAGAGAACAAGACTGGGTGATAGAAGATAAAAGTGCCTGGGAAAGAAGGAGCTCTGCACACTTGCAATCCATTTATCTGTGAGTCCAATGGCACTGATCCACTAGGACAGACAGGAATTCACGGGTCATTCCCTGCCAACACGGAGCACCTTTACCAGCGCTCACTGAGACTCCCGCGTTGGTCTCTGTCCCAGAGACGTATCCGTGACTGTGGCATAGGCACTGTGAGCTTGGGCTGGGGTAAGAACTGGAACTCCCTGTGTGCAGTCCAGGGGAGCAGAGTTCACTTTTCCCACCAGTCCCATGCTTGTCCTTCCCCCAGTGGTCCCCTCACCAAAGTAAAAATCCCTGTGCTGTCTCCAAAGCCTGGGGGCTAACCAGTCAGTCCCCAGCTGACAGATCCATGAAGCTATTAACTATGTCTTACGTTCTCACAGCGGGGGGATGTGGTTGTCTCAACCATACAGTTAGGGCTGTTCCTCTAATAGGGAACTGGGGTCCATAAAGGAGAAGCAACTTCTCCAAGGTTACACTGGCTGTAGGGTTTAGAGCCATCAATGAAATAGGACAGTGCAGACTTCGCCAGTAACCCTCCCCTTTAATTGCACCACATCCCGTAGGAATAAGGACAGGCTGAAACAAAAGGCTTGGCAACACGAGTCTGCCACTGCCATTTGAAAATCCGGAGCCATTCAAGTCAAACAGAGGTTCTGGACTTAAAAACCATACCCAAAGCCCACCCTGGTTGCGTTGCTTTGTACCTTCACCGTTTTAATGCCAAGCTGGGCTGCTGCCTTTAGATTCTGGCTGCTGTTGTCGAAGAAGATGGATTCCTGGGGCTGAACACCGAAGCGCTCCAAGCAGAGCTTGTAGATACGGGGATCTGGCTTGCACATTCCTTCCTGATACAATTCAGCCATCTATGGCAACAACAAATGGATTATGCATGAACCTACTGTGACCACAAATGTCTGTGCAGTGTTGGAAATGGAGGATGGGAAGGTGGGAAAGAGACCGATAGTCTAATTAACATGTGAAATAAAGGACACAGGGAATGGAGGGCTGACAGACCTGGATAGGATGTGATTCAAGTGACTGTGTGGCTGCCAATTGCCTTGGCTGTGGCTCTGTCAGCTCAAATAAGCTAAACAGGATCAGCCAGTCCTTGAATGGAAGATATCCAACGAGATGTCATGCTGCGGGAGACTCACTGGATGTCCCAGATCGTGCTGAACCAATTGCTTAATGCTGTCCAAGAAAGCCTTAGATTGCACCACCTTCCAAATGATCTGGAAAAGCAGTGTTCTGACCATTGCATCTATCAGCCATGCCAAAGCAATCTTCGTAGCAGCATCAAAGCTGACCATAATCATCTGCCCAAATTTGGATCAAAAAAGTTTTGAATAGAAATATTCAGAAAGTCTCTGAATACTCACATTACCCTCACAACCACAGAAAATTCAAGCAGTATTTCACCCCTGCACTGACAGACACTCTAGGAATAGAAATGAATCTATTAGATATAAAAGCCAATGCTAATGGAAATCCACATTCAATTATTTTTTTTTCCCACTAATTACTGTGCAGTGCTGTTGCCTGCTGTTACAGAAGAGTCACACCACATGAGCGATGACATCAAACAGGCCATGGTTATTAAAGTGCTTTGAAACGATCTGGGATGAAAAGTACCACACAGCCTCACTCTACTAAGAGAACTTCATAGGCACCAGGGTCACTAGCGTAATGCACAGAAAGCAGAGTCAATAATGACATAATATTGACAAGATTACTTTAAACAGTCCCAGGTTTTAAATGTATTGATACAGCTCTTCTTTGCATATTTTCTTGTCTTAATCAAGGCTATAAACCAAACTTATGTCATGAATAAACTCCAAAATTCAAAGATGTGAGTTGGGGCACACAAAAAAGCAAATCTTGTGTCACACTGAGCAGAGCTCTCATAGCTGCCTGTTAAAGCGAAGCCCCTCGAACCAGCCTCGAGGTTCACAGCTAATCTTCTGCTTCATCTTTGCAAAAGCGAAGCATGCTGGGAGAGGGGGCTGTGCCTGCTCATCAGCTCAGACAGATCAGCATGTTGGGGTAGTGGGAGTTTTTGTAGTATAGGGGATGCTTTGCAATTCTTTGGGATGAAACAAGCTGTAAAAGAGTAAGGACTAAATATAAAGCAGGCAGGGGCACTGGGTAATAACATTTATTTCTTGTATAGTGTTCCAGCTTCTAAGTTCTTTATCGACATCGTTACCTATGCCTGTTACATGTATACTTGTGGTTGCATGGGCATTTTGCAAAGAATTTTCAAACACACAAGTACCTGCCACTCACTCAGACCTTCTTCAAGGCCCAGTCACTACCATGAATTACGCCAGGAAACATTTTCATAGATTGTTATTGTGGCCACCAGCACACCTGGAAAGAGGTGGGATGAGTCCCGGCTGTGTGTGGTAGAGAGGAGCCTGCTGCGAGAGGGACATTGTCGGGACAGTAACTCACTGCCAGAACAGTGCAGCAGGCAGGGAGAAGCTGTGACATCTCTCTTGCTGGAGAGCCCTCGCTCATCAGCTGTTGAAGCAGAGAATCACCTCCTGCGGTCCCTTCGAACCTGCTGATAAACCTCTGGCGCAGGTGGCAATTACACAAATGTTGGAACTGCTTGTTCCTCCCTTAGCACCAACTTCCATGTGTAATTTCATCTCTTGACAGTGCCTGAACAGTTCTTCTAAGAAAAAAAATCCTGGCATGCAGCTAGTTTCACTTTATTTACAAACCTGTAACTTCTTTATTCTAAGACAGTTATACAAAAAAATGTGAGCAAGATGGTCTTCACAGTTCAAAGCGGGGGCCTCACTTCGCCATGTCAATGAGACTCTGGAGAGAGGTTGGCACCCAAGTCTTTTCTCCTTGTACAAACACAACACCTCTGTCAATGTAAATGACAATCCGTCCAAATGTATACAACTGTTTCCCTTCATGCCGCTTTCCAATCACAGGCATGAAAACAATGTTGTGCTCCTCTGCTTTTGTCTGAATTAGGTCCTTAAAATTCATTGGCACAGAGCTGGCAGCCATGCCGATGCCACGCTGGGCCATGTTCTCAGCCTCCCGACGCTCCTGCATGGCTTCATACTGAAAGTCTTTCCTCCGCTCGGTGTGAGTAAGGTAGGCGATGTTCTCTCGAGCGCCTGGCTGCATGTATCCACCTGTTTGGAGAGACAAAACGTGTGAAAACAAAGTCCCAGTACATTCCTGGTGCAAGGTCTATGGGTAAACTCCGGTCCAGGACACAAAGTCACTCAATAATGCTCTGAATCCTCCTTTACACATTCTAATTCATTAAGTTTCATACTGTTATTGCTAATACAACATAGACTAGCTAGATGAATTTGAGAACTGCAGCAGAAGCAACAGGATTTGGTACAATTTGGGATTGTATCCAAGCATGCACAGGAGAGGAGGATGCTGCACTGCTACTGGCAAAGGGGAAATGTGAACAACAAAAAGAACAGCAACAAAAAAAATACTCTTCAAAGCCAAAACCCAGCCTGTGGTCTCCACATGCCACTGCTGGGATACAAACAGTGACTATTGCAAAATCAGGCTAAGGATGGAGCAGTATCATACTGCAAGAAGCAGGATTGCATCATGAGCACTTTCACTATCAGCCCCCAGTTCACTTTTTGGCTGTGTGACTATCATGCCAGAAATTTCTCAACAGGTGAATTCCTCTTTGTGCAACGCCTGCCTGTAGTTGTATCATTTTACCACAGAAATAAACGTAACACATAAAATGGGCCTCGAGGAATCCTCCATGTTTCTGATGCAGATTCTCCATCACACTGTACAGCAAGAGGAACACAAGAAAGGAGTTCTCAGTCTGGGAGGACAGGGCAAGTTTCAGGTGCTGCTCCCTCAAGCATGGACTTATCTTTTATACAGTTTAATTCCCAGCGAATTCCTAACAGTCTCTTTTAGGTCACAGGGAGAGTCATGTGGAAGGAAAGGGCACTGTTCTAAAGCTAAGAAGAACCAGTATCTTACCATAAAGAAAAAAACCTCCAACAAATTATAGCTTTGAAAGTCAACATTTCAAAATGATGGTCTCCCACTGACTGACAAAGAATACACTATGATCAGGCAAGGCTGAAAGAGAATCAGTTGCTTAATGGCATGGGCAGCCAGTCACCAAAAATCTGTTTCTGCTTCAGTGAAGCACAGATAATTACTAGGTAGCACCTCACAGGTGGTATTTACCGACACAACAAGGCAAAACACACTTTGAATTTCACTGCTCATAGGAGCTGCTACAATGCCAGTTAGCAGGGTGACGCCTAAATACACATTCGCAAGAACCAAGTGTTGCTGTACTGCCATCACAGTAAGCGGAGCCATCGCCATAAACCACCTACCCACACTGGAAGAGACAGCCCGGTTCATGATATCAAGAGCTTCATTAAACTTGTCTTTGATCGATGGATGTGCTAACACTTGGTCTGAGAACATGGACTTCCAACCCAAGTACCATTTTGTAATCTCTTCGTAATTGGGGCTGTTACTAAGCCAAGAGCACAGCACCTGCAAAACAACATGACAGATCAAATGCAGGAGGACAGGTACATTTATGGAGGAGAGTCCTTATTACCACTTAGTTTATTACTGAGCTTTCAGGAAAAGAAAGGACTGTGACAGTCTTAGGAAATAGCCTGTTCTGAGGCGTAAGGAGCTATGAGTGGAAGTCACCGCATTTGGTAGATAAACCATTTCAGCACTGGGGCAACAATTTCTAGGCAGGAATCACTAAAACACTTCACAGTGAATCAAGCCTGTGTACTCGGCCTTAATAGTTCCTCACCTGCAGCCACTTTGGGAAGAAGTGTTTCTCCAGCAGCCCAACAAGACTGGAGACAGAAATCATCCCCTCCCAGTCAATCACCCAGTAGAAGGCATCCATGTGCTGCTGGTGAGGGTTTATGATGAGTTCGTTCAAACACATCCCTGGGAAAAGTGGGAGAAGAGTTAGAAAGGAACTTGACTCACAGTTTATCAGTGCCCTGACCTATTCTGCTAGCAATACACATGATTTGAGGAGCACCTGTATTGCATATTACCGTAAAGGACATTTGGGATCTTTAAACTGTTTGGCTGATCCCTGCCACCAAAACAGCGTGCTTCCATTTCCAGCGATTGCAATTTGGTGCCAGAACTGAGAAACTTAAAACATTTGACTGTTTTTTAGACTACAGAGCCTTTTAGCCAGTTCGCATGGCTGAATGGTGAATCACAAAATCTTGTGGTGAAAGCATTAGCATAGACCACATACAGCAGTAACAGAAAGACATCTTACAGCTTGGTACTATCTGACAGCTATCAGATATTCCTGTCAGCTCAAGAACAGAGGAATCAGATGATACAGAAAAATACACAGAAAACATTGAGAATAATCAGAGCACTTCCCCATGTTTTCTAAAATGTCTGCCTCAAAAAAATGCACAGTACTAGTAGCAGAAAAGAAGATGCAAGCTTGGTCTAAACTGACTAATTATATTCTTTGAAGTAACACTGGCAACCGTGTTAATATTTATCTTTTCTAGGTGTAAGGGAGAAGGTGGCAACCAGCAGATTCCAGAAATTCAGCACCGTTTGGCTTCTCTCACCTAGTTTAGGCACGATGTTTTTGACCATGAAAGCCTCCCATGACCCAGGTGTGAACACATCTTTCCAGGGCTGAAGGATAAGTTTGGCGGAGGAGTCACTGGGATGCCACTTCTGCAGTGCATTTGCCAGCTTGTTTCGGATGGGAGAATACAGTGGCTCTAATCGTGCCTGCATCAGGGGAAGCCAGGGATGGATCCACGAATGGATTGGGACTGTGTCTGTCAAAGGATTCCAGCTTTCGACCTTGAGG